TTCTTTAAGCAATATTTTGATTTCTTTATGTTCATTCCCATTAGAGACAGTGAAATATTATACTATGCCGGCAACGTTGGAAACATATGACTTATCAATTTTCCTCTCTGAGGAGAGAACAAAGCAACAAAAATCATTTTCTCCTTTAAAAATAAAATGCACAGGGTTAAACAGTGCCCTTGTTTAAGAGCATCATTGCATTGAACTTTTGTGTGGTGTTTCAGCCGTCTCAGGAGACCCGCCCCTCACAGATTCTCACTGGCAGTGCAGCTACACTGACAACAGAGCGGCTGGGCGAGACCAGGGTAATACAAAGTCTGACTGCCCTTTCTGCAAGACCTTTCTCTTCAAAATATCCATAGTCACAGTCTTGGTTCTCCCGACTCTACCCAAAGCCTGCATTAAAAACCATAATCCTAACTAAAAAAAGAAATATGAAGCTTGTCCTTCAAATTAAATTCTCTAGCAAGGATAAGCTTTCTTTTTGGTATGAGCTGAGGGATAGAAAAAGTTTGCTGTTGTGAGTGTTACCCTTATGGTGGAAAAGAGAAGTGAAAGGATTTGGGATGAAACTTGATCAAGCCTTATTCCTGTCCCAGGTGCTACATTAAGAAGTGGCTTTGTGCAATTCTAATGCAAATAAAGCAGACGACTCTCTACTGCTGTCTATGTCAGCTAGTGCCTCCTGGGGTGCCACTGCAGCCTTCTTCATAAAAAGAATATTATGACTAGGAATCCACACCTGTAACTTCTAATGATGCATGCAGTCATCTTCAGAATTGACGAAAAGTCAGTCCCAATGTGGACCTAAATGTCAACATCCCCCTGCCACACTTCATTTGGTTTTTCGTTTTCTGTGGTGCAGAAGATAACTTCTGAGTTCACTAGTACAAAAGCAAACCAGAAGTGCCAGGCATGGGGAACTTCTGTATGGAAGAGGGAAAGAAGGTAACCTTACGTGCTCTAAGGTAGCTAATTTCAGCTCCCATGATTTTTGTCAGTAGCATATGTTAAGCCTCATTTCTTACTGTGACTTGTGTTTTCCATAAAAAAACATACATTCTTCCTGCCGTTTCTGCCTGTGGTTATTTGTCTGTAGCCACCCCTCCAGCTGAAAGACTGGAGCTTGGCCGCCTGTTCTGCTCTTTTCCACTAATGACATCCAAAGTCATTCTGTTATCTTCCTGCACCAACTGGAGATGGGGAATTTGGGATATGGCGCAGAGAAGTAAAAGGTTCTAAGTACAGTTTCAGCATTCACAGAGGATTTTTGTTTTCTTCCTTTAGCTTGCAATTTACATACAGTACTTCATCTTGTTGCACGTCTTCGTGCAATCAGATTGCTTTCCAGTTAGTCCTACTTCTTTTACAGCTCCTGCAAAAAAGGAGGAAATACATCATACTTTGTTTCCTAAATGTGAGTGATCAGTATTTCATCCACTGAAATGAACAGCAAAGTTCATGTTCAATCTTACAATGCTGGCCTCATAGAATGGATAAAGCTGGTAGAATAATGGTCAAAGTCATAAAAATATTTGTAATAAGATGCAAAATTCAGTTAAAAGAAAAATCCTCTTTGTTTTATGAGGTGTGCAGTGTGACCACTGGCCTTTAGGTCCTAAAGGTCAGATCACAAGTTATTTCTCAGATGCTTTTCAGTGCTTCCAAAGGATGTGCCAAAAATAAGACAAGATTTTGCTTGTTGTTAGCTTGAAAGTATAGATAAAATTGTATTTCTAATTAAATGCTTAATAGAAATAATGTTTCCCTGTAGAAATACACTGCATTATTTTAGGGAGTTCGTGTGTGACCGAATTCTGGTATTCTACTCAGAGATTAAAATTTACCACTGTCAGGTAGGTCCACTGAAATCAATGCTAGTACTTACTGTCAAGTCACAGTAAGAAAGTATTTTGGAAGGGATTGTGATCCAAAATGATAATTCCAAAAAGACATTCAAAGAAGGCAGTTTCCCGAATTGACGACTGCATTCTAGCGTTAAAGATTTTAGATATTTACTTTTGCCAGCAGTCAGAGTGAATTCCCACGTAGGGCTGAAATTATAGAGTTTCTCTGCAAATATACTCCTGTAACAGATGAATTTGGAGTCTGGCCTTTTGAGGCTGCTTTGCTTTTTTTTTTTTTAAACAAAATCCAGTTTTTCTCAAAGAGTTTACAATTCATTGGTGCCCTTGAGATTGTGCAGTTCCTTATCAGCCGTGTTACTATGTAAAATGACCTGATAATATGTAGTGAAATGTAGTATGTAGTATTTGAGGGAAGACTCCTAATTAACCTTTAGAGAACTTTGCTTGCCTTGGGGCAAGGTAATTTAGTTCATGCAGGGTCAGGAAGCAGTCACATGCAAGATATCCCTTTCTTGATTGAAGATTTTCTAAGACGAAAACCTCAAAAATAAATGCAAAACTTGGACTGTGTTTCCATTAATGGTGAGGTCTTGTAAAGATTTTGGGAATTTACAGGTCTAGAACAGATGTTTAAGCAGCTGGCCAGTGAAAGCTGATTCTGGAGAACAGTCTACTGAGAATATCGTGAGAGGTTCATATCTGTCTCTCTGAGGTACCAGTATCAGATCACTTTGGGTTGAGTTAATTCAGTGCTCTGTTTCCCCTTTGGTTTTGTGGAACTGTGGAAGTATGGCAGTTTAAGGAACCCCTACTTCTGGGGGGCACATATAAGCCAGCAACAGAGTATAAAAGAAAAATAAACAGTACAGTGTTGTGCAGGAGTAATGTCATTTTACTTCATGTCCTTAATCCCATCAGACAAGCCCATTCTAAATCTCCCACAGGATATGAAACATGAACTGTTACAAAAAATGTGCACTGTTCTGTGTTTATCTATATTTTTATGAAAATCTGCATTATGGAAAGAAGTTTGTGTTTGTAGCAGTGTGTTATATTTCATCTTCTAGATTCTGGTAGTGGTGAGCAATCTTATATTGTATCCTGAAATCCTGAATGCTGTTAGACTAACTTGAAGTGGTATGATGATTTTCCTCATTAATTTTTCCTTTCTACTTGTCATTTTGTTGTAAAGGGAATGAGAGTGAAAGTTTGCAGTTAGATTTTATTTTGAGGGATTGCAACATGTTTGTCTTCCATGTGAAAAGCAGGTAAGGTAAAAATTAAAGGCTGACAAATTAAGCATTCAAGTGAGGAAATGCCAAAGCTGCTTACCCAGATTAGCTATCTAAATCTTTGCTGTGAAATGGCACAGCCTCCCCTGTCCACCAACCAAACATGCAGCGAAGATAACAGTTTGTTCAGTCACCTCTTCCAGTGTGTCTCTTCTCCAAAAATTTCCTCTCAAGGTCTGGGTAGCTAAATGTGCATGTATTACTTTTCTGAGCTATGCACTTCCTGAATGTTAAAAGTCAAAATAAAACTTTCACCATACAGGCAGACAGTGACTTTTTTTCCCTGAGAGGTTATGTGTTTGTTTAATAAAACAGATTTGTGTCTATCTCTCTGCCAAACTTCAGTGTTATAACTCTATTTGTACCTGAACTAAGATTTTATTTGTGATGTTTATCGTTATTCTCCCACTCAATACCCAATTCAGAAATTTTTCTAAGCAAGACTAAAACTCAAGCTGGGAGTCCTTAGCCCCAAACACAAATTTTAGGCAACAAGTTGGGAGTAGATTTGCAGCACTAATAACTACTTAAGTTATTTTCCTTTGTTCTTAAGCACTTGTGCATACAGACCTTGCATCTGATATAATGCACACAAATGGATTGAAAGATAAAAGCTGCTGTTCAGCTCCTATCCTTTACAACCCATGGAAGAGACTGGCAGAGGGAGAAATTAAATCAATCCAATTGAATTTGAAGCAAATGTTACTTGTCCATCAGGTACATTAGTCTGGGCTGAGCTCCAGTTTAACTGTACTGCTCTTATAAAAATTCCATAGGATTATTTAATTATCCTGCGTGGCTAGTGATTCTGATTTAAACATCACCCAGTTGAGTACTAAACTGGTGTCACCACATAGTGTCCTGGCCATTTCTTCCATCCTGACTTAGAGGAAACAGTGCCATCTAATGAAACTTCCTTTCTTTACCTAAGAAGCGCAACTTTTCCTCAAGACCTCCTAATCAGACATTGAGCAGTGGGTAACTGCAGAAGGAAGAACCATTCAAAGAAACCCAGCTACTCCTCATTTACTGGGATGGCTCTGAAATCCTTACTAATGCAAACTTCTTGTTTTCCAAGCTGGTCGCTCCTTTGAAGGGTCCAATCACTGAATTTATTCTACAGTAATTGTTTGCATCAGGTTGATTAGATTCGCGATTTTGTTGTACATGCCAAGCAAGGAACTTCCATATCCTTGAAAGGAAATATTTATAATGAAAACATTTAATTATATTGTTAAATCTCTTTGCTGCAGATATTCTCCGATAGTGAAGTAATATTTGGGGAACGATTACCTGAAGACAAGTTCAGCACTAACCAAAATGGAGATACTTGAATATTCCATTTCCCTGCTGATCCTGTTTCATATCTATAGTGTATTGTCCTGAAAGCTTACTGAAAAACAGCAATGTATTGGGAAATAGCTTGCCAGAATTAACTTTTCCTCTATACCATTTACAGTCTGTTTTAATGACAGGTGTGCTTTTGTGTTACAGGTATAAAGGTATGAAACATAACTTTTTTTACAAACATAAGCAGCATGCAACCAGCCTTTTTAAAAATTAGTTGGACTATTTGCATGATTGAAGTGGAAATACTGGAGCAGTTAGCTGAGTTGGACCCTTAGATCTCATCTGGGTCCTATGCCCAGAAAAAATATTTTTCGTGTTCATACTCCCACCTAAATTCGGCCTGACTTGACTAACATCCACTTTTTAAATGTTGAAAATGCTAGTTGTTTCCTTAATCAGACTGCAACTGTTTGATCATGCTCTAGAGGAAGATCAAAATATTTTATTGCTGAATAGTAATAAAATGACATAAATTTCAGGAGGGCTGTGATTTTGTAACCAACTTATTTGTCATATGTGAAAATGTGTTCCTGGAATATCAGGAGCCTTTAAAATGCCAAGAAGAGAAATTTATTTTCTTTAAAAGTATATTAGCTTATTTAAAGGCTGATTTTATTTGTGTGGATTTTTTTTTTTTCTGTTTGCCACACTGGTTTACTTGCCTTTCCTGTCTTTCCTGAAGATTCATGCAATAGCCTCCAGATACGACAAACGTGGTGGTAATTCTATTTTGTTTGAGGATTGTCACCAAAAGAAGACTTAAAATGGTCTTTATTTTCATAAGGATCCTTTAAGAAGTACCATCATCTCAATTTTTTAACCATGGCAAGGCTGAGTGACAACCATGTAACTGAATAGATCCTTTTGATTTGATCTCAACTGTAACCTGCAAATTACAGCACTGTAATCTTTGCTTAATGATACATACCGGCTTGATGTAAGTCACACCTCCATGCCAGGAAGGCTCATATTGATTCATTTGGTTAGTGTGTACCCCAAGGATACAAGTGGGGGTTGTAAATTGTTAGACCCTCTGCCCTCGGGATATATCATGTTTTCAGTTCTGAATTGTGCTGTACAAAATTATGCATGTTTGTTGCTCCAGTATTAATTCACTTTCCATCTGTTCAAAAAGTGCTTGTACATAGTACTTAGCCTGGTGACCATAAGCAGGCATTCTTTAAAAGCTTAACAGAGCATGTTGCCATCATTTAATGTATGAGTAAAGAAGAAATTTGACACAGAATTTCCACATCAGTGTGTGATATCCATGTTGAATTCCTAACCAGGTTTAATTTTTAATGCCTGTCTTTCTACTGAGGTCTGTATTTGACTGACTGATTTGGTTAACAGCAGTTTTTGTTATGTGCATTTTATTTTATTTGGCTAACAATATGTCATGGCCTCTGGAGATTTGTGTTTTGTATGTGTTATCAGTGAAGTTTCAGAGGACAGTTTATTCTTTCATCTTTAATGTAGCTCCCCTTCTTGGACTTTCTGTACTCCTCGTTGTAAGAGAGTAAAATTTTAGATCTGAGCCCTCCGCTCTTGTGTTCCTGGGGTCTACCTGATAGAGCCAGCACTGAGGTCTAGTAGAACAGCTCAGTACCCTAGTTTTTTTTGAGAGTTAGGGTTTTTGACCTCTTCTTTCTGTTTGTTAATTTTCTAACATTCTTAGAATTTATACTGTGAGGAACGAGCCAGTCATTTTTTGTGCATGAGTGAAGAGCAATGAACACAAAAAAAGCATCTTGGGGGCAAGCTTTTTCAGTGCATTGTTATGCGCTGAGATAGAATGTTTATTACTTTGGTAGAAAATGAAGGAATTCCAGGGAAATGAGAGGGCAGTAATGCAGAGTTAAGCTTCACAGAGGGACAGAAAAGCTGTATGTGGAGGACTGGAGAAGGATGTGAGAAACAGTAGTACAGCAGTGGTAAGTAAAGCTAGGATTATTTAGAAGATTTTAGAAAAAAAGAATGCAAGGGTTTTGGTCATTTTCAGTTCCTGCCTTCAAAGGTTCAGATCCTTTTGTTGTTCTTTTCCTTGGGGATTCAATTCACTTCCCCCCTGCCCCGCCCCTTGCCAACTTCACCTCCTACCTTGCACAGTAATACAGAGTTTTATTAGCTATGCTCACTGGTAGATGAGTTTTGGAAAAAAAGATAAGTAGGTGGTTTGGACCTGTTTATTTTTCTTATAGTATATGAAAGTGTTATTTTCTAGCTTTTTCTAGTGATCTCTTGCTATTACATTGTCTGCCCTCTGTTGTGCTGGTGATCTTGGGGGTTCAAATGACAGATTGAATAGGCAAGATCAACACTAAAAATTGAATTGGCTCATGTGTCAAAGCATATGAAAGAGGTGTTTCAACTTTCATGTCTGCTGGTATGGAAACTTCTGTCATCAGAGCCCTTCTAGACTGCAGCTGGAGGGGACACCCTTTGGTGGGGCTGCCTCGTGCAATCAGGTACTCAGGTGTCTCTCCCTCTGTAATCAGAAGTATCAGATGCAGCATGTTGAAGGATCACAAAATGGGTTAAGGAGCTGTGTCTGCTCTAACCTATTTTTTTGTCTTTGTTATATCAAGTAGCTTCAGAAAAGATTTTGAGATGTTGTGGGTTGGTGGTGGACTCTTCCTTGACTGTACTAGCAGCTCCAGTACCCCTCTAGGGACTCCCTGGGCTGAACAGGTTGCTGGACATGTTTTCTATCTGTCCAGTCTTTTTCTTCCTGACTCATTTACACATCACAGCTCACTGTGGTATAAAGCAGTCCACAATCAGACACTGAGAGAAACTGGGAGATTTACTTCAAATATATATTTTTTTTCTTTCAAGCCTCCTCTATTGACATATTAAATATCAGAAAGTCCTCTAGATGCCTACTTCTAAAGACCATATTGATCTCTATAATGAAAACTGAAGCCAAGGACGAGTAACTTTTCTGCAGCTCTCAATAACTTTTTTAACTATTCCTTTACTACTCTTTTCATCCCTTGATAAGTTATTGCTCCCACCATCTCTTTGAGAGGCTTTCTGCTTCTGATATGCTAGAAATCTTTTTCCTATTCATTTGTATACCTGCAGAAATGACTTCACTTGCTTTTTTGTGCTTTCACATTTAATTTATCAGAGCTTATACTGTCTTCTCATTTCTTCATTTCAACATAAACGACATTTTATCTTCTTTTATTTTTCTATTTTTTGAAATGGGAGGAGAAAGAGATCCTTACAGTGGTTTCATTAGAATGTACTTACTCTGAGGTTGTGCTGTCTTCATGCAGTCTGCCAGCACTTTACCCAGTGATCTGCATTTTTAACCAACTTCACTGTTATATGTAGTTCATCTTCTGAAATATTTGTAGAAGATGTTTTTCTTTATTTTCTCTTTATAAAGATGTTGCATGGGAATACATTGTGGTCATGATTACAGAAGGGGCTTTCTATAGTTCTCTGATGAACCGTATATAGTGTGCTGCTCCTTGAAAGTAAATCAGGTACTTTTGTGGTCTCTCAGGCTAGCTGCTCTGATTGACAGTCATACGTAGTTTCCAGAAGTGTATATTGTCTACAGTGTGTCAATGTGCTGTGTGTATACTGATAGCTGAAGTCTCCTGCTGTTGCTGTGCTCTCTGCTTTCAAGTCTCTCTAACGCTCCCCCCAAGGTTTCAGTAAGTGCCACAATTTGTGTTGGGCAGTTTACAGCTGTCTCAGTAATATCTTTCCTATTTAGACACGCAGATTTGATCCCTAAAGATTTATTTTGATAGCATCGAATCAAATATGACTTTAAGTCTATTCTATCATAGATTTAAAAATTACTTATTTTCACCAAGTTTGGAAGATGCTTTTTGTACTTAATTTTGTAAATGATTTCTTGTGCGTGACTTAAAACCAGATGTTCTGTTTCATGTTCCATTGTTTTAACTTCTTAGCATTTTAGACAAAATCCCATACTTAGGTGGAAATATGTGTATAGATTTTGTTACTTCCTACTTGAACTTTACAAACTTGCATCTGATTCTCTTTCTAGGACATGCTATTTTTTATTTTCTCTAGTGGACACATTATCCTGAACTTTGTGCCCTTCTTCACCTGTCAGTTTTCTTCATGCCTTTAGCTTAAAATTTCTGCCAGAGGGTGAGATCACATAAATGAATCTTATGTACAAAAAGAATCTAACATTCAAAGCGTGAGATCAGATTTATGATGCAAAGGGCGCTGCAGAGTCTTATTTTGGTATAAGGAAGGCTTGCTTCAGTTAATCAACCTGTTCCTTAATTGACTAAGCTGAAATAAATCTCTCATAAATTAAAGCACATGCTTTTGGCAATGCTTAATTATATCAAATTGAATTTGCACCTGGAGTTATATGGGTAAAAGTTTGCCCTGGAGGTGAGCCTAAAGCTACACTGAAATTGAATCTGAAATTAGTTGGCGTGTGATAACTTTGACCTTTACCTCCACCATCTAAGATGGCATTGGAAGATAATGTGTAAAAAATGAAAATAGATCATTATACTTGAACAAGAAAGGGCAGGGAAAAGGGAATATTTCTAACTTTTTACTTTCTACAATGACTTTTTTCCAACTGAAAAATTTTGCGTATATCACCAGGTCCCTGTTTTTGTTTATACATATAACTTGTTCTGTGAGAATGTATTTCCTACCCTACTGAAATAAAGGGCATGATTCATGCTGTTTTCTGTAACAGGGTGCTCAGTCTCCACTTTTCTGTTATTCCCTGGGTGTCACAGTTTTATAGCCTGTAAGTGAAATCCCGCTCATCTGAAATCTATATGTAAGTCTAGAAAATCCAAGCATGAGTCCAGGAATGTCCCTTTTTTTTTTTTTTTTTTTTTTTTATCAATACATTGGGTGCATAATTGTATTTTGTTAAGTATTTGTACAAACAAAGATCAAGCTTTAAGACTTATTTGCCGTATTGTTTCAGCTGATTCACATAAACCCTTTTTGGCACTATTTCAGGAT